TCTAACCGAATCAGAATCAGAATTTATTTGGCAAAGGATTCAGCTCTCGTTCCGACATGTTGGCTGCTCTAGTTACCATGGCGATCTTGAATCCTGCACCTCGAGGACCCAGCATGTTCCCAGCGGCACCCTGCAGTCCTCCAGGATGATGTTGGCCGTGGACGTGGCTTTGATGCCCAGCTTGTCCTCCTTCTTCCCCAGAGAGAGGCCCGGGTGAGGCATCGGGATCAGGAAGGCGCTGATGCCCTGCAGACACAACGAGGGCACGCTCTGTGGTCACACTGCGTTCTGAGTGTGTGTGTGTGTGTGTGTGTGTGTGTGTGTGTGTGTGTGTGTGTGTGTGTGTGTGTGTGTGTGTGTGTGTGTGTGTGTGTGTGTGTGTGTGTGTCACCTTGTGTTTGAGCTTCTTGTCCGTGGTGGCGAACACGACGGTGGCCGCGGCGTCCCAGCTGTTGTGATCCAGGCTTTGGTTCCGTTCAGCACCCACTCGTCTCCCTCCTGACGAGCCACCGTGGACGCCGCGCCCGCGTCGCTGCCGTTACCTGGAGGAGACGTGCAGATCAGTTTAGAGACACAGGTGGCTAACTTTATTCTAAAATGGCGTCTTTAAGACTCCTCAGTTTTTATCCCTCGTCTCATTAGGGGCGTGAACACGTGCGTGAGGCGTGGCGTTTACCCGGCTCGCTGAGGGCGAAGCAGCCCACCTTCTCCCCGGTGGTGAACGGCGTGATCCACTCCGTCTTCTGTTCCTCTGTGCCGAACTTCAGGACGGGTCCGATGTAGAGCGACTGCGAGGAAGAAGACGCGCACAGAGGTAAACACGACAACGTCACAACACAAATACACGTTGCTATGGCGACCGACCGGGCTCACGTTGTTAACGGACACCACGCATCCCGTGCTGGCGCAGCCTCTGCTGATCTCCTCCACCGCCAAACTGTACGCCAGGTAGTCCATCCCGGCTCCGCCCAGCTCCTCCGGGACCTCCATGGCCATCACGCCCATCGCTCCCAGCTCCTGAACCTGAAAGAGAACTGTTTGTTTTTCCTGAAGTATCCAAAGTATCAAAACGATATTTAAAAAAAAACGACCCCGAACGTTTGGGGCGCAAAACGGGCCTCATGATCGTCTGGTGTGTAGCCAGCAGAGGTGTAAAGAGTATTTTAGTGTTTTTAGTTTTATTATTCTGAGGCTGTTTAGTCTCAAAGAAACCTGAGATGAAAGATAATCCACTTATTGTTTTAAAATTAGCCTTTATGAGTTTAAATATTAGATGTTTTATTCTCTGTTTGTTTACCTCTTAGCTCCTGAAGCTTCTGACTGAATCTGTTTGGTTTGAAGTATTTATTTTCACACATCTGAGATGTGTTAAATTACAGCAGCTTATAACACCCAACTTCCTCATGTCTTTTTCAAAATAAAAGCACATCAGAGATGGCAATTAGGGACTTTAATTGTGAAAAACTTTCCCGAACTAAATGTGTTTATCGCTCGGAACTTAACAGAAAACCTACTTAAGTAAAAGTACAGATTTTAAAAACGACGTAAAAAGTCGTAAGTACAGCAAAAAACTACTCAATTACAGTAACGTGTGTGTGTGAGTGTGTGTGTGAGTGTGAGTGTGAGTGTGAGAGTGAGTGAGAGTGTGAGTGTGTGTGTGTGTGTGTGTGTGTGTGTGTGTGTGTGTGTGTGTGTGTGTGTGTGTGTGTGTGTGTGTGTGTGTGTGTGTGTGAGTGAGTGAGTGAGTGAGTGAGTGTGAGAGAGTGAGTGAGTGAGTGAGTGAGTGTGAGAGTGAGTGAGTGAGTGAGTGAGTGAGTGAGTGAGTGAGTGTGAGAGAGTGAGTGAGTGAGTGAGTGAGTGAGTGAGTGAGTGAGTGAGTGAGTGTGTGAGTGTGTGAGTGAGTGAGTGAGTGAGTGAGTGAGTGAGTGAGTGAGTGTGTGAGTGAGTGTGTGTGTGTGTGTGTGTGTGTACCTGTTTCAGGGGAAAGGCATGCTCTCTGTCTAGTCTGCCAGCGATGGGGGTCAGTTCTCTGTCGGCGAAGTCTCTGCAGGTTTGTCTGAGGATCTGATGAGTGTCCGGTAACTCGGCCAGCGCAGAGAAACTGCGACAACCGCTGAGACACAAGCCCAGAGCTGAGGGAGAGGAACAGAGTCCAGACACTGCATACTAATTCAAATGATTCACAGACAACTGAACGTTGTGCTGGCTTCACATGCAAACAGGAAGCAGCAACAACTGTCAGGTTTTTCAAATTAAAAGGTTGAAACTGAAGTGTAAGAGTTGTACTTTTGATCTCACAGAAGGAGATGCTCTATCTCATCTGAACGTCGTCATGGAGACGATTTATGGACACTTCTTACAGTTCTGTCTGAACGTCTTCATAGAGAGACTTTGTGAGCTGATAACATTGAAAGCACCCAACGATCCGTCTTCATCGGTGACATGGATCAGCGCCGTCAGTCCGACATGTAAATTACATCAATATCAGACCAGATACGGATATTTGATCCGATCTGTCACTTCTCTTCAAATAATCCAGCGATGCAGAGACAGTCTGGCTCACTGATCGTGTTCACATCATGTGAGAAGACATGTTTGTTTGGTTCATGTTGTGATGGGGTCAGTTTAGGTCTGAAGATAGAGCGAGTAGAGATAACGCTTCAGCTGTTACTGATATATTATCAATAAGCTGGTGTTACGTTTAGAAACACGGAGAGGATAGTTGGCAGTGTAATATAACAGCTCTTATGTTTGTGTCACAGGGTGCTTCACATTAGCCTCAACTTTCTGACGGTGAAGACGGTGTGCCTTAAGGGTCAAAATGGTTATTAAACGCGATTAGCAAAGATAAATATATTAATATTTAACTTTTCGTCACTTTCTCTGCATTTTTCTTTATTCCGTTATTGCTGCTCTTTTCTCCCACTTTCCTCGAGTCCTTGAACGCCTCACATGCTCACCGGTTAGCTTTATCTTATTTAGGTGAAAGGTTAACCTCACTTTCAGTCACCTTCGTGTCACTTTGACAGGTTTAAAACACCTTAAAATAAAGAAGAGCCGGTCTTAAAGTACCTGACAACTATTTCAAAATAATGTCTTCACTGAATTTTAGTCTGTCAGTAAATGTTTTGAAGCTAACTGGCTAACTTGTAACCTTACCTAACCAGCCGAGGAGCTAGCTGTCAGAAACAAGGTAACCATTAGCTGACGTCACGTCTTCTTACAGCTACGTCACTTTTTCACCGACTGTAGTTCGGGTTCATGCGGTCCTTCACGAGAGCATTTCACTCATTATTAGTGTTTTTATTCTTAATGTTCTCACCTCTTCTTGCTCTAAACAGAGCCGCCATGTTGTCCTCTTCTCAACCTGCTGCAGCTACAACCACTGATGACGCAACATGCTGCCTTCACGTGCTGTGGGAAACCTGTGCGTCGCTCTGTGGGAGCACTGACAGTGACGATACTTCACCTTAATCCCGGGAAAACGTCATGAGGTTAAGGAAAGATGTTAGGAGAAGTCATAAAGGACTTAGGGAAAGGAGATCTCGTTGCTCTGACAATCCGACCACATTTCCACTTCCGGTGAAATAATAATAATATAATAATAATAATAATAATAATATAATAATAATAATAATAATAAATTAGATTTATTTAGCGCTTTTCTAAATACTAAAAGACGCTTTGACAGGAAACAACAAAAACAAAGCAACAACTAAGAGAACAATAATCCGGATCACCACGAGGTTGGGATTGAAATAAAATAAATATAGACTACAAGTAAGAAAAGTGAAACCATCAGCTTCCTGTCCAATCAGAAATCAACACCAACATCAATATGATTGGATGAAATGAATTGTTACATTAATGTAAGATATAACTACAAAATGTTTTAAACATACAAATGTACAGCAGCACAAAGCAAGAGAATGAAATCTGTTGAATCAAACATCCTCTGATAAAAATGTCTCTTTTATCTCTTTACGATCATCGTTAATGTTCCTGAACGGTCGGATGAGCGACTCGCTTTAAATGTTGTGGGGCGTCATATCTCATCTCCTTTCCTAAAGGATGGTCCAGTGTATCCTAAAGGAGGTTATAAAGGAAGCATTGACCCACCTTTCCTTAACTTTTAGAGAATTCAAACGGCTCTTATCATGGCCGCCACTTAAATGCTTCATTTCACTCAGTGAGGAACCTTCCTAAACAAAAAAGACAATTCCAACCCACCCACAGTCTGGGCCAGGGGCGTGTCCAGACTGTTTGGACTGCGGTGGCCCAACTAGTGGTGCAGTCCATTTTATCAAAAATCCTGTTTTTCACTGAAGTTAGTAGATTATTAGCAGCAGCTGAAGAGGTCCCTGTGCTGCCTTATAACCCATTAATTCCTGCCAGAGTTTGGCTGGTTGTCTGTCTCGATATGTCAGCCTGTGATTGCAAAGCGACCAGTTTAAGGTGTAGCCCCGCCTCTCGCCCCAATGACAGCTGGGATTGGCTCCAGCCCCCCGCGACCCCAACGGGAAAAGCCAGATAGATAATGGATGGACTTTGATATCATCATGTAAACATATTTGAGTGTTCTTGCCTTTTTAATAATCATTTTCTGTATTTCATTGTTAGCTCTTGCCCTCTCACCTCTTAATTTACGTTTTATTTTGTATCTGCCTGATTTAATCCGTAGCGGCTCTATTACCGTGGCTAAATTAAAAATGAGGATTCTCCGTTAAGGTTGTGAATATATAAAGAATGACGATCACTGCACAAGAAATACAGCAAATATATCAAAACTTTATGTCACTCTGAAGTTAAAAAAATCCCACAAAAATACTTTATGTCATACCAAAGAAGAAGCAAAACTTTAAAACCAATCAGTTTAAGTTACAGGTCTGATTTAAGGTCATCACATACACATCACTAATTCCTAAAAGAATATTATCCCAACATGTGAGAGACTTTTCAGAAGAAAAAAATAAAGGTAATCCAGTCAGGGAGGTTTGAGGTTTTTCACAACATGTTTATTTTTTAGCACCATAAAAAGTCAGTGAATGTTGTCCCGTGTTTATGCTCTCATTGTTTCTTTCCTTTGGGATGGAGCGTCGATGGTGGAAATTTAGGAAAGTTTTGGTAGTGGCCGTTTGGAGAGATAAAAAGCTGAGAGGGGCTGCATGGCTACCGCAGCACCAGACGGCCGGCAGGTGTGGTTCACTTGCTGGCGGAGGTGAAGGTGAAGCATCCTCTCTGGTGGAACTGCATGTCCCTGATACGACGAATGGACTGGATCTGGGGCTGGAAGGCGCTGAAGTCGTTGTAGTGTCTGTAATCACCGCACTCAAACAGGTACTGGTAGCCTCTGTATCCAGGGTACTGGTAACCCACAAACCTGAGAACACACGGGTGAGAGACGTTAATACAGAGGGCCACCTGAGGGTTCCCAACGGGTCTTGTGGTTGTTGCTTTTGCATTGGATTCTTTTGAGACTAGAGGTCCTTTAGGAGGTCATTGAGAGGGATCCAGATGGCCATGAGGTTTATTGAGCACTGATGGGGTTTAAAGGTCAGTTTGGTGGTCCTACATGTGGTCTGAGCTTCTGGAAGTCAAAGAGGTTAAGAGGTCATAGTGAGGTTCTTGAGTTGGATTTTAAGAGGATCTAGGGGCGTCCGAGGCAGTGTAGAGGTCCAGGAGGTTCGGTGGTCATTGGTGAGGTTCTGGATCAGTTAAGGGGATTCTTTCTGTTCTTAAACTGGTGAGTCACCAAAGTCTTTTAGTGGTCATTGGAGTGGTTTAAGTTGTTCAATTCGCCTTTTCAAACTTTCTAGTCCATAATTTTAGAGGTTATTGGGGGTTGGCAATGTTCTTGAGGTGGAACTGGGTGCCATTAAAGGGTTCTAGTAGTTACTGTGGAGATGTAGGGGGGCTTCATGGGGCTGTGGTTGTTACCAAACTCATTAAGAGGTCAATGGGGAAGATCTACTTTCTATAAAAGGGTTCTTGGGTTCATGCATACTGTTGTTGGTGATTCAAGAGGTCTAAGAGGACTGTGGTGGTTTAGGCGTCTTTAAAGGGTTTTTGGTTGTTACCAAACTCATTGATTTCAGGTTTCCTTAAAGGGTTTGAGTGGTCACTTGGGCGCTTTAAGGGATCCTTAAAGAGGTTCTGATTGTTACTTGGGGTTTGTATGGACTGCCCTGGGAAGTTCAACTGATCTGATGGAAATGTAAGGGTCATTAAGGAGGTCATAAGAGGATCTAGTGGTCCCCTAGGCAGTGTAGAGGTCCAGGAGGTTTAGTGATCGATCGATGAGGTTCTAGAGGTCAACTGGGCGGTACTATGTGTTCTGAAAACTGTCATAATTTAAGACATTCAGTGGCCATTTGAGAGGATCTAGTTTTGCTAAAAGTTAGTCTTTTGAACGCTTCTAGGAGTCCATGATGTTGAGAGGTCATCAGGAGGTTCCCAGGGTCATCGAGGAGTAACTAGGTGCCCTGAAAGAGGTTCTAGTCCTGAGTAAGAGGGGTGTAGGTGTCCTTAAATGGTGGTAATTGTCACCAGACTAATTGCAGGGTCATTTTGGAGTTCTAGGTGTCCTTAGAGGTAACCAGGGCAGTTGGGTCTTAAACAAAGGTTCACTGGTCACAAGTCCTTGGTGAGGTTTTTGGTCATTGGTGATGTTTTAGAGGTCATTGAGAAGGTTTCCTTTAAGGGGTTCTAGTGGGGACTTGGGAGGGTCCATGTGTCCTCCACTAAGTTATTCTGCTCACTGGAGAGGTTAAATATGTTCTAGTGGTTTATGGAAAATATTGGAGGATCATTGAGGAGTTTCTAGAGGTCCCATCAGGAGGGTCCTTCACTGGGTGGTGTTGGTAAAAAGGATTTTGGTGCATTAAGGCGATTCAAGAGGGGCCTGAATGGAGGCTACAGAGGACCGATAGCCTCCTCCTAAGTGACCACAAAGAGGGAGTTTTCAAGTTCTCTCAGAGGGTCTGGTGGTCTAGAAGTCCCTTTAAGGTTCTAATAGAAGTCACTGATGTGCTTCTCCAGTACAGAATGAGTAATTGGATATTCAAGGAGGGTCATTTAAGAGATTCCAGTTGCATAGAGAAGGTCATTCAAGAGGCTCCACATATCACAATAGAGGTTCTAGATGTTATTGAGGTGGTGGTCCTTCAGGGAGGCTGGGTGTTCTTTAAGAGTTTCTGTTGTCATTGTGGAGGTTTTAGGGGTTTAAGGGGGCACTGAGGAGTTGCTAGTGGTCTTTAAGAGAATCTAGTGGCAATAGAAAAAGCCCTACTGCCATTTCTAGGAGGTTCTGGACTACATCAAAGAGGTTTTCTATGTGGCTGTTTTCTAGAGCTAACATCCAAATAACAAATGTGGGAAATCTCTCGGAGGATGGTTCTTATTTGTCACATGTGTTTTTTTTCTGCGGTATTCAGAGATCATTGAAATGCGAAGAAAATTTCCCATCTATAAATAAACATTTGAGGACAAATCTGACACGAAGCCATCAGCTCGAGGCCTTGTTGTGATGACATGCCATCCTACTTTTTATGAACAACCACATTGTAGTGAGAGCCTGGAGGCCTGTGGTTTCCTCTGAAGCTTTGTCATGACAGAGAATTCACTTCAGTTAAAACAAGCTAATAGATATGTCATTTTAACGCAACTGGAAAAAAAACACGGCCTTATTCTGTGACTGATGTTTCACCATCACTTGTGTGTGTGTGTGTGTGTGTGTGTGTGTGTGTGTGTGTGTGTGTGTGTGTGTGTGTACTCACGCTCCTCCAGGCACCCTCACGCTGCCCACTCTGTCACAGAAGCCATGCGCCCAGAGGGTGGGCACATCATCCTCCTGGATCTCCATCTTGTTGCCCTTGAAGTCAGAGAGCTCATACAGGCAGATCTTGTGCTCCAGGCTGTCCTGCAGAGAGGAAACAAAGCACAAGGGCATCGAGAGTTAGTTCTCATGTTACATCGATCATGTGAAAAAATAAATCCTGAAAAGGTCTGAAAATTCTGGGGTGAGCAGCATGTGTGGACGAGGGTAGCTGAGTTTTTCACTCAGATTTTTCCCAGAATTGTTCCTGCTAGTGTCCTGGAAAACAGTCCCAGTGAAGTCTGGGTGAGCTGACATGAGAACGCAGCACCATATTCATATTCAGGAAAGTTAGCCTTAAGTGGGTGGTG